TCTGAACTGCAGTGGAGTCTGAGGAGTATACTGGTAAAGATTAGTACCAATCATTGTAATGTTATTCAAGGACATTGAGCTAGATGAAACTTTACTGTAAATATTTGACCCATGCCCTTGTTTATGCCATATCTGGAATTCCACCAAAACATCCTGATTGTTTTTCTGATCCACAGCTCCAAAAATCCATTTAGTAACTGATCCATTGCAAGAGAAGAGCATGTCAGGATATAAATACTGCCGTCTACTGGAAAACATTTGTGATTGGTGAACTTTAAAACCATATTCTCTAACAATTGAAGGAGTGATTGAATTGATGCTGTTAACACAGTAGTTATCTAATGATAGTAATATATATTAGTTATACTACAATGAGAATGCATTATAAATATACCTGTTACTGGATATACTAAGATCAACTGATTGGTGATTAAAGAGTTGTTTAAGTTGACACCACTTCTAGTGCCAAATGCATGTTGGCTGCTACTGAATCTGACTCTTTGAACATTATCAATGTAATGCACTCTAACTATACTAAAGGCTGGAGATGGTTGTGATACAGCTAGCAGGTCTCCACTCATTACTGGTATAGGAGGATTGAGACACTCCACTGGTACTGACATTATTAGTCCCATAATAGATAACTCTCTCGCTCCCAATCACTAGGTCATATTGACTGCTGCCACCAATTTTTCGAAAGACCTGAACACTTGGAAAAAGTCTATGACCTGCTCTTACATCAATCCCCAATATAAGACTGGTTATAGCAGATGAACAATTGAACTGGTACTCTTGCAAGACTCTGACTGCCTCAGTTAAGGGACTTCCAATTGCACTACTTTTTAGATTCTTTGCTCTGTATCCAACCAGTGATTGACTCATGAATCTAGTACACTCTTGCTCCAGTCCTTGAGCAGCATTGATACCTAAAGTTGAAAATGAATGAGAATATTATATCATGCAATTTTATACAACTAACAATAGAGACAAGAAAAACACAACATAGCCAGCAGTTTCATTTTTTTCTTTTAGTAGATTTAAGAGCATTTCCTTAAACAAAGTGCATTAAATATTGGTCTGTACCTTTGATGTGGTCAGCAACCTGCTAGATGTAGAGTAGAGAGGTCATGCTATTTGACATCACCACAGTTGATATTTATTTGGACATTAGGGAAATAATTTTATTTGAGCATCAGTGAAATAATTCTTCAATCATCCAGTATGCATAGCTAGCACTGCAAATGTTATTTTAAGTAATTTTAATTGAAAGTGTTTATAATCTTCTGTAAACATATAAATTAAAAGTCATCTAATATTCAATCCAGACATGATTGTAAATAATTCATTGTAAACTCAATGAGTGCTTCAAAATTCTGTCTATTGTGATCATGTGATATAGATCAACCAATGTACTCATCTGGTATCGTAATTGCTACAAGCATGAGCAGAGTTTCCTACAAAGCATGCTAAGTGAACTAAACAGCATACTTCATTAATTGACAAAGAACTACAATAGTACTGCTGTATAAAAAGTTAATAAAAATCAAATCAGCTCAATTTTGAGTTGATACGGAGCATAAGAACATGTATTATAATACAAATAGAAAATTCTCAACATGAGTTTACAATATTACACTAGTCCT